GGGCTCTCTAGACGGGCATGTCAAGGTTTTACTCCACGGGTGCAGCAATGATGGTTTGGGGAGGGGGGGAGTGCGTGCATTTGGTGTTTGGGCGCGTGCGCACACCGCTTCTACAAGGGGGGGGAGGAGCAGCAGAAGGCTGGAAACAGAAGAGACACCCGGGCGACCGGGCATTTCCTGCATGACCCTGGCGCACGCAACAAAGGGGGGAGCCCTCGGCGCCTTCGGACGAGGCTCAGCGCCCTGAACGCTTCCCCCTCGACGCCTTCTCCTTGGGAGGACAGCTTACACCGAAAATATGCAATACACCTGCGCTCTGGCTCCCCCCCCACACACACACCTCCAATATCCTGGGCCTGCAAACCCCCCTCAAGGGCATGCCCCCCTCCCCACTTTTTGGCCGTCTGGAGGAAAGGGTGTGAATCGAGACCCTCTTCTTTGGGGGCACAGAGGTGTGCCCCCCCCCACCAGTTGGCTTTGACACTGGAGGAGGGACCCTCTCGAGATCTCTAGTATTTTGAGGAATGCTAAAATGAAGAAATACGGGAAACAATTTACTTCTTAAAGCTAAAAAACGGGCCACACGAGGGGGGGTGTCCCTCCCCATGGCACACACCCACACACCCCTCCTGCCCGAGCCACCAGCGAGCTCTGCTAGGTTTATGCCATGCTGCATGGGCAAATGGGGGGGGCATCCGCGGTTGCACCAAGGGGCTGAAGGGGAAGCTCCCTCTATGGTGGGCAGGATATTCAGAGTGGTGCGGTGGGGAGAGGCCCCCCCAAAAAACATCCTCCAGCCCTCCAGTGCCACCAAAATAATCAGGAAGCGCCCCGAGGCGCGAGAGAAGGGGTGGCGGGTTAGTCTGGCCTCCCCACCCTGGCATCGTCCCAATGCACTGACAACTCCTGGCTGGTGGATGATGGGCACTGCCATCCCATCATCCGGAACAGTGCAAAGCTGGGGAAGATTTAGCTGTGCCTTCAAACCTCTGACCCCCTTGGTTCCCACCCACCCACCTGGCACGACCACATTCAAAGCCACCCCGTGAATCGCTTGCTTTCCTAAAGGAAAATGTTGTACTTCCCCCACCTTCCTTTTAAAAATAAAACAAGCCCCCCCCCAAAAAAAAACACTGCCATCTTTTAAAGAGAAAACCCCATTTCCCAAAATCTTTCTGCTTGTTTTTTAAATTCATGTGAGGTTCCAAACTCTCCTTCCACCGAACCCCCTCTCTCCCTGACCCGGCTCTTATAAATTCCCCCTCCCCCTCAGTTTTGGTTCTTTTTTTCTTTTCCTGAAAAATATTCATAAACTTTGCAAGCTTTCCACCCAGCGAGGAAAGCTCCCTAACCTTTGGTTTTGGGGGAGTGGGGGGGGGGAAAGGCTCATCAAAAAATAAAAATTCACTTCCCCGCAACTGAGCAGATGTCTGTACTGGAATGCAGGACTCGGGGTGACTCCCACTCCCCTTATCCTAAAAAATATTTGCTACTCAATTTTTGGGTTTATAGCAAGAGAAGGAGAGTAATGTGATTTGGGGGGAGTAAGAGGAAAAAAAGGGTCAAAAGGGGGGCATTTCCTGGATGGGAAAGCAGAGGGAGTGCAAAGGAACCCATATATCATATTAATTTTTTGAAGATTAGAATGACAGCCTTATGCATAGGGTTTTACAAGGAGCATTTGTGCTTCAACCGGGGGGGGGGAAGGAAAAGGTAAAAGTTTAACCCACTGGCCTCTCTCTGGCCACCTTTCTCTCCTGCACTGAAGAGCAAACACCATTTAAGTCATATGTACGAAAATGCTCCCCCCATTGCATTAAACCATTCCCCACCCCTCCCCGCCGCCCAGCAGCTTAAGAACGGAATTCTTGAAATACAGGAACAAAAAACAAATCCTAACAACAAAAACACACACAACCCGACCCCCCCAAGATTTTGCTTGAGAACGGCTAAAGCAAATCGAACGTGTCCTATTGCTGATCGTAGGTTATTTCTACCAGGGGAGGGTGGGGGTGGGGGGACCAGGTCATGGAATTACGCTCCGGAGGTGGCAGAGTGAACACAGACGGGTATTATTTATTATATATTTTTTTCTTGCAAAACGGACCTCTCTCATGGGGGTGGAAGGAGCGTTAAAAACAGTACACAGTGGAATCCGGTCTGCATGATCCATGGTTCCCCGCAAAAGGGCATACGGCGAGGGCGCCCAAGAACCCCGCCATCTCCTCCCTTCTGCATAGGTGTATCTTTAAGTTGGTTTTCCTCAACTTAGTGCGCCTCTACACAACGCTGGTGGGGGACGATGAGTATTGTAGTCCAACACTGGGGGCGAATACATACTGTGAAGGGGGGTGTTTCTAAACCAACCCTTCTGCCTCTGGCTTTGAAGGCTAAGAAATTTTTTTTGGAAGACCCAGGACCCCCACCTCAGGAAAAAAAGATGCCTCCATGTATAAGACGCCCCCCCACTTTTCTAACCCAAAATTAAGAAATCTAAGTGGGGCTTAGCAAGTGTAGGGGGAAAGGGATCAAAGCGCTGCAGGATCGCTTTGATCCCTGCTTTCCCCTCCACTTGTTTCTGTTCTCTCCTCAGCTTACTTCTGTGTATAAGACGACCCTCAATTTTTAGTCTAAAGATTTTAGACAAAAGTATAGTCTTATATACTGAAAAATACGGTGTATATACATATATTTTTCTCTCTGTCCCTCAATAATGGAGTGAAATGTTTCGTCTTGCATTCCAGGCACCACGGCCTCTGCCTCTGGCCAAAAAATGAAAACAGGATTCGTTCCCAAGCAGGCGAGAGGTGCGGCAGGAAGAAAAACACCCAGGGAGGAGCTCTTTCGGCCACGGCTCATCGGGGACAGTCAAGTCGGGAGGCCTGGGAAATGCGGCTTCGTAAGACTACCAGGCCCAGGATCCCCACCCCCACCCCCAACACCCAAAGGGGCCCTATGGGCATTCTGTTTGCGGTAGTCTTTCTCAGACAACATTCTCTGGACTAAAAATAAAATACAAATTAAAAAAATCTGAATTTCTGGATGGGAAGAGAGGAGTTGGAAGAGGTCAACAAAAGCCAGCTGCGTGTGTGTATGTGTTAAAGAGGAGTGCAATTTTGCAGGAAAAGACCATTCTCTTCCCCCCACCACCATCAACAACCCATTCACTGGAAAAATTATCTCAATGGGTGTTGTGTTGGCCAAATGGTGGGAGGGTGTGTCTGTTTAAGAACCAACTCTGCCCGCAACCCGGGCGCCTCCTCTTCCTGTGCAGGACCCCCCACCACCACCCTGGGGCAGTTAAAAGGAACCAGAAGTGACGCCGATGCAGGGAGGGCAGCTGGCCGAGGGCGTGCAAGAGGGCCACCTCGCTGGCGGCGAAGGGCGTGCCAGAGAGAAGGGGGCCGTTTGTGCAGCAAACTCACTCTGGACTTTGGCCTCCGGAGGGGAAGGGCTTTAACTGGGGTGTGTGTGTGTCCAGGTCCCAGTCAGGGAGGAAAGAGGGGGGGGATTACCCTGTACCTATTTCTGACAAAAGTTTTTCCCCCCAAAAAAGGGTCTTATCTATGAGGTGCCCCACTCAAAATGCTACAGATACAAACCAGGAGAGGGATCTCTACCGGCTCAGAGGGCTCCCCATCCTGTGCGCAGATGCACGTGCCCACCCCCCGGATTCACGTCCTTCTTCCGCGCACCACGCTCTTGCCTCCTCAGCGCTCTGGGCATGGCTCCTCCTTGAAGGGAAGAGGGAGGGAGGGATCCTAGCCTTTCCATCGGCTTGCCCAACACCATCCTCTCTCTCGGCCCACATCGTTCCAGCATCTTTTTTTTCCACCCCACGCGGACCCCGCGCTCTGCCCCCCTCTCACAAAAGGCCCCCTTTCTTCAGCCTCTCCGCAGCGGCGGCCGGATCTCCTCCTCGGCTCTCGCGGACCGCGCTGCCGGCCACGGCCAAGCCCCCGTGGGATCCGGCGCCCCCTTCGTGCGCCTCGCTCCGGCACGGGTTCATGGCGTAGGTGAAGACGCTGGGCAGGAAGGGGAGCGGCTGGCCCTTGTCATCCGGCACGACCATGTTCAAAGCCACGGGCAAAGGGAAGTTGTACGGGTAGGCAGCCAGGAGCTGGTGCCCGTACATCAACGGGTACGGATCCGGATAGAAGCTCACCTTGGCATCCCCCTCGCTGCTGCCTGCTCGGCCGACGGCATTAAACTGGATGGTGCTCGGATAGGCGAGGAACGAGGATTTGTCCTCCAGGTCCTTCCGGGTCCGGCAGCTGCTTGGCACTAGCAGGGGCAAGGGGTACTCCTGGACTGGGTACCGCTCCTCTTCCGCCTGCTGTGGCGTGAGGACCGGCTTCTGCAGCAGGCCGGTGTGAGAGATGACAGGGTCTTGGAGGGAGTGGGGCAAACTCGGCAGCATCTCCACCAGACTGGCGGTGGCCTCCAAAGGCGGCGGGTGGCCCGGCGGGAGCGGCTCCTCGGGGAAAGGGGACTGGTTCCCTCCCAAAGGCGGCGGATTTTCCTCTGCCGGCACGGAAGTGAGGGTCCTATCATCATCATACACCGCCAACTCCATGGGCGCAGGATCCTCTTCCGGCACCTCATCCCGCAGGCAGAGGAGGGGCTCTCCGCTCGAGGACGACACCTGCATCTCCTGAGTGGTCTCCTCCTTGATGGTGGGTGACGGGGTAGCGGCCAGGGGCGGCTCAGGGGCCTTTTTCGAGTAGGTGATCACCGTGGTGGGGGCCGGCACGGGGGCCTCCTCCGCAGGTTTGCCTTCATGCCGCTTCATGTGGCGGCTCAGGGCCGCCGCTGTCTTGCACACCTTAGCGCAGTGGGCGCAAGTGAACTTCACTAAGGGCTTGCGGCCAACACGGTGAGGGGGGGCGGCCGACAAGGCCACCAGGGAGTGGTCCTCCAGGCGCCCATGCACCCGCTCGTGTTTCCGCAGCTTCTTGAGGGCCGAGAAGAGTTTGCCACAAACGCCGCACACATGCTTCCACTCCGAGCCACGCCCGCCGCCTGCTCTGTGGGGCAGACTAGCCCCCTCACTCTCTGAGGCGCCCCCAGGGCCTCCCGAGACATCCGCCGAGGCAGGCTCGCTAGTCACCACACTGGCACAGGTGCTGGCCTCCTCCTCCTCCTCCTCAGCTTTCTCTGTCCGTTTCAGCCAGCGCAGCGAGCGCAACCGGCGCCGCCACCGTGACTTCTTGGTCTTTGGTGCCGCCGCGCCGGCGCCACCACACGCCTTCCGTTTAGGTTTGTAACTGTAGTACGGCCGCCAGAGCTGGTCTTCAGTGTCCCCGTGGTCACTCTCCTCCTCGCCGCTCTCGTTGCCGTACGTCCTGTCCCCATGTTTGCCGTGGGGAGTGGCTGGAAGTGGGTCCAGCTTCTCGACATTCTCGCCTCGGCTGAAATCGAAGCGTCGGCTGCCTCCGACTCGCCCGCTGCCCTTGTCCAGCATGAGGTCCGTTTCCGAGATTCGCCGCTTGACGATGGCTTCCTCGCCGATGCGCACCGTGATCTGGCAGAGTGGAGCCGTCCGGCTTTCGGAGGCGGCGCCCACGTACGCCGGCTTGGCCATATAGGTCATGGTCCGGCCGGCCCGCGGGCCTCTTGCCCGGTGCCCGTGTTCGCTCCCGTTAGTTTCCAACGCCTGCTCTTCGGCCTTCTGCGACTGGATGTAGTCTCTCAGCACCTGCTTCTTGATGGGTTTTGCCACCACTGTGGAAGGCGGGGGCTGCGACGACCCCGGGGCAGGCAGGGGACCGGTTTCTGATGGAGCCTCCGAAGACCGGCTGTTGTACGTTATCACCGAGGGGGGCTGGGACTTCACCAAGGTGCTGTGGACGATCACGGAAGACGTCGGCCGGCCGTAAGCGATGACGGTGGGGGGCTCCGTGGCCAGCACTCCTGGCTGCTTCTCCGACTGCGCCCTCTTCTCAGCAGAAGGAGACACGGATCTCTCCGCAGTGCTCGGAGGTTCTTGCCCGTGAAAGCAATCCACCTCCGGAAGCTCTAAGGAGTTGTTGCCGTTGGGGGCGAAGACAGACGCAACATCCCCGGTGCCCAACGAAGACACCAAGTTTCCATCTAAAGAGTCACTGTCCCCTATTGTCACAGGGAGGGGCTGAGCTGGGAGCAAAAGGTTATCTGGAACCAGCCCTTGGCTGTACGTCTTATAGGGCCTCTTCTGGGAGCGCATGGGCAAGAGGCGGTAGAGCTTCAGAGCGTTGAGTTTAGGCTTATAGCCTCCGTTGGGGGTCTTCTCGGAGGAGATGAGACCCGGGTTGATCCCATGGAAGGCTTTCTGGTGGGTCTTTAGGTTGTAGTAGGTGACAAAGGTCTCCCAGCAGAAGATGCACTGGTAACGCCGCTCCCCGGTATGCCAGACTTCATGTTTGGTGCGGTACTCGGCGAGGGCGAAGACCTTGTCGCAGTAACGGCACGGGTACTTCCGCCGCCACGAGTGGACGTTGGAATGGCGCTTGAGGCTGGAGAGGGTCATGTAGGACCGCTCGCAGACCGTGCAGAAGTAGATGATGTGGCCATCCACCACTTTGACGAAGTGGTCCTGGTCGGAGAGATAGTCTCCACGGGGCGGCCCCCGGTGGCGAAACATCAGGCCCTTCTTGGAAGATGACGGAGCGACCGTCGGCTTGGAAAGCAGCCCAGGGTCTGGCGGCGTCTCGCCCGAGGGTGCACCTTCTTTGGGCTTCTCCCCTTCCCTGCACAAGACCTCGTGGGTCTGCAGGCGTTTGATGTGGATAAAAGTCTTCCCGCACTGCCGGCAAGACAAGGAACGCCGTGTCCGGTGGAGCTTCACGTGGAGGCTGAGTGCAGAAGACGTGGTGAAGGAACGGTTGCAGCTGCTGCAGCAGAACGTGCTGCTGGCCGGGTAGGAAGCTCCTGACGGGGGTGAGCAAGGAGAAGCCGGATCCTGAGCGCCTTCGGCATTCGCTGCGGCTGAAGCATCATCCCCGGGAGGGCTGCTGCGGTCCCAACCGACGCTCCCCTTCAGCATGAAAGCCATGTCCGAGGGAGGCGGGGCGACGGCCACTGAGCTGAGGTTGTACAAGATCTTGGCCGTTTCGGTTTCAGTGTCCGGATGGACGTCGTGCCCTGGACTGGACACTTTGGCCAGATCCTGGAAGGAAACGGGGCTGGAAGGCTCGGCGGATCGAGAGGGGCAGGTGAGATCAATGGGCGAGCTGCAGGGACGAGAGGAGACAACGCTAGGGTCGTCCATCTTGGCCTCGGGGTCATCCAGCGTTTCCAAGCGGGTGATGCCCAGCCGCCGGCCAAGGGCTCCGATCTCCTTGGCAGCCGCCGGGCTGGACACCGAGAGACGAGAGTTGTAGATGAAGTTGAGAATATCGGAGAAGATGTCTGCCTGGATGTCCGGCAGCTCTAGGATCTGGCCCGGCTGGCGACACACGGATTCCTCTGAGAGGACCTCCTTAAAGTAGAAGCTGGAGGCTGCGAGGACGTTCTTGTGCGCCTTGAACTTGGTGTCTTCCGCGATGATCGTGATGTCGCAGAACTGGCCCCGCAGGCGCTGCTCGTTTAACTGGAGCAGGAGGGAGCTCGCGTGCCCGGTGTCTGTGACCTCCACAACAGGAGCCATGGTGCCGTCTCAGATCTGCGGAAAGAAAGAGAAGATGAGAGGTGGAAACCGGGGCACCTCCGTTTGGCACAAGGGTGGGGGAAGACACGGTGGACTTATGTGTGGAGGCTGGCAAGCCAAACTGGAGCAGTTCTGGTCTGGAGATGCAGCCTATTTCATGCTTCTGCTCAATTAGACACGGCAGCCTCTTTCGCTGCCAGAACCCATACCGCCCTCTCCCTCTGATGGGGTTTGATCCATGCCACAAACGTTTTCCTCTTGCTGAAACCTGCCTCTCCTTTTACGGTTCTGTAAACCCAGGCATGGCATGAGGGAACAGGGAGAATTTCCCCAAAGTTCTTCATAACGTATCAACACATGCCCACCTATGGCGGAAACACAGTCGGTCTGATGTTAATCTGTACCTACTTTCCTTTCCTTCCCCCCCCCCTTCTCTCTTTTTTCTTTGTCCATGCAAAGGTGATCTAGCACTAAAATAGAACATCAAGGTAGGGATACAATGACCCAGCACTTAAACCCATCAGTAATTTTAAAAAAAGTCTCCCACTATCCAAAACTCCATGCCCAGTTTTGTATGTCCTGGTGTAGACAGAGGAGAAACTGAGAACTTTAGACATAACAATCAGGGTTGTGTAGCACTTTTATCGGTGTCGTTAAAACGTCAACGAACATGCCGAGCGTTCAGGGACTCCTGAATTTTTCATGAGGTTTCTTTGGAGGGCGCTTGTAGAAAATTTAATGGCTTGGGGAAGGAAGCCAAGCCAGCCAAATCTAGTTGCCAGGTTAGTCTTTCTATTGGTTAATGCAATGTTACTAGTATTTATTTTTTACCAGACTTCTGAATATTATTATTTCCTTTTTTTTTTTAATTAGTATGGTTGAGCCTCCCTGGGTCCCATCGGCAGGACAAAGTCCACTGATCTACGGGAAGACTGACTTGGAAACACAGAAACTGGAGGTTCAGTCAAGAAGTATTAAGGTGTTTATTGCTTTTTTTTTTCTTTTCCATGGATGAGCAGCTGGCCACAACCCTCAAAGATGTGTTCTGAAATATGCACATGGGCTTCTGATCTGTGTCTTAAAGGAGATGTAGAAGGAATACAAGAGCTTTTTACATCCACGCAACTGGAGATTAAATCTAGATGTCGCACTAAGTGAAAATAAAGTTAGCTGAAGCTGGTCTGGTGCTGCTTTCACCGGAAGCAGATGGGGCGCTACTTAGAAACCTAGAGTCCCAACGATTAAAGTAGATTTGGGTCCACCCGAACAGGAAACAGGACGCTGAGGTACGGTAAGGCCGAATAGATAAGACACCCAGATCTAAGTGACCCTCCAAATGTCAAAGAAAGGGACTGGTTTGAAATAAGGAGGGTGGGAGCAACTCGACAATTTGGAAAACTACTTTTTAAACAAAATTGATGACTCAATGCCGTTTTCAAAAAGCAGACCCTGCTGATGCTTGCTACACTGTTTTAGAATTACTTGTTTTTTTAATTGATTTTCATAGGAGTGGAAAAGAAAATAGCATGGAATGTGAAAAATTCCAGTCAAAAATCCCCCTCCTCAAAAGGATAACTTGGAAATAGAAACTGTTCCTGCACCAGGGAAGTAACTTTTCCTACCACCAGCTGAATTACTTTTGGAAGTCATTTTATGTTTCCGTAGGGTCTGCCTTCTGTCAATTTCGTTATGGCTTGTCATCTGCACACCCACCACATTAGTGGCCTTGCCCTGATTTGGAAAGGATCAAAATATAATAAAATGACATTTAAAAATCCACGATGCCCTCCGTTGCTCCCACCCACCCAGGTATAACCTGTTAGAATCAAGTCTTGGGGTCCGAATAGCCCAAGTTTGAATCTTTGGTACCTGCGAGTCCCTTAGCCCCAACTCTGAGTGCATGTTAAAAACAAGATTTTTCCACCGGGGGGGGGGAGGAAAAAAAGGGACTGGCTGGGTTTCGAGTTGTAAGTTGAGGCTGAGTGATTTAAAAAAAAAAGTTGAGTCCAAATCAGAAGTAAACTAAACTTAGCAGAGAGCAAAGCTTTGGAACAGAAAACGCACAAGGGGGGGGGGGAAGGGACTGGCTGGGTTTCGATTTGTGAGTTGAGGCTGAGTCATTTAAAAAAAAAGTTGAGTCCAAATCACAAGTAAACTAAACCAAGTTACAACTTAGCAGAGAGCAAAGCTCTGGAACAGAAAACGCACGGCAGTGCTATCGGTCTATTTCATTTCTCAGAGAAAAAGGGCAAAATGGTTGGGGAGGAGGTCACGATGGGACAGGCAGCTTAAGGGTGAGGGGCGTTACTTTGACCGAACACAAAGGTGTGCAAAAAAAGAGGAGGGGACGAGAAGCCATGGGATGCTGGAGGCCTCCCCTCCCCCCCCAAAAAAAACCGGCACCGGTTCTTGTCAGTCCAAAAAAAACAAAAAAACAAAAGGCTATCGGGCTGCTCTCGATGTGAGTTGCGGGAAGTCACACCAAGTCCTGACCCGACACCAAGAAGCAAAAAAATGAGAGGGCTGCCAGACCTAAAAAAACACCCCAAAGGCTGCCAAACCCAGGAAGAGATTCCCCGCTCGTCCTCACAAAGAGCCGGCTTCCCTTCTCCTCTGTTCACCTTTCTCCTCCGCTCATTCTCCACACTTTTAAAATTCTTCTTTTCTTTTTAGGAGCCATTTTGCTCAAGGAATTCCCCCAGATGGCAGCCTAAAATGGCTGTAGGCAAAAAACAAAACAAAACACAAAAAAAACAACACACACACACACACACACACATACACACACAAACCCACCCCGGTGCCAGCTCGGATTAACAGCCGGCGACGTGCTAGCTCAGCCCGCTTCGAGGCAGAGCAGACACCCGAGGCGGCCTGGAAGCCGTGGTGGCTTGCGCGCGCACACACACACACACCCGGTGCCCCGGACATTCGCCCCGGCTCCTTGAGCCTGGCATCGCCTTGTGCCAGGGCGCTGGACTGGCACCCTGCCTGGCCCTCCTCTTTGATCCGGGGGCCCGAAGGCACGCTCGGGGATGGGAGATTTTTGTGGCATGCAAGAGACCGGGGAGGGGGGGGGGTTGGAGCAGGCGGGACGAGAAGGGGCATCCGCTCTGCTTCCCTTTTCTGTTTATTTTGCAGATTTGCCTCTTTGGCTCACTGGCATGGACACACACACACACATACAGAGAGAGAAGAAGAAGGAGGGGAAAACCCCCTTTTTATAATGCATATTTTGCCATCCTTGGCCTAGCTAGAGCTAGCCAGACCTCACCTCAACCCAAGTGGGTTACAGAAGGTGGAAACGACCGTCACGCACTTTCCTGTGCCTACAGGCGCTCTGGGTGCACACAGGTTCCCGTGCTTGTAGGTGTGCAAGTGTGTGTGAGAGAGAAGCCAGCGTATGTACACAACCCAACCACGATCCTGAAGGAGAGATCTCTCTCTCTCTCTCTCCCTCTCATGCATGCACGCACGCACATAACACAAGCAAACACAATCCCTTCCTGGCTGTGACGGGAGTATCCAAACGGAAAAGGAGTTTCTATGGAAACAGGCCTTCGCTAAGGAGAGAGAGAGACACAGAGAGAGAGAGAGAGAGAGAGAGAGAAATATGGAGGGGGGGGCGCAGAGAAAGACGACAGCGAGCAAGAGGCCGTGATGTGGTTTGGAGCAGGAACTTTCCAAAAGGGGGCTGAGGGATAAATAAGCACGCCCAACGGGACTGCAACGGTAGAGATCAGAAGAGAACGAAGGGGCTCCTTCCAGATCCAAGAGGGAATCCCAAATGCATTAAGAATACAGGGCCTGCTCCCGGGGAGGGGTGTGTGTATGTGCGGTTTTGCCAAAGGGTGGCAAGAGATCCGAAAGGTGGCCAAAGGGCCAGATCCCCTTGAACCCACTCTCTGACGGCCTGGCTTCTTCCGGCTTGCTCAGGACCCCAAACCTGGCACCAGATCCTGGGGAAATCCTCGTTAAGTTCCGCTGAGCCTCCTGCACTGTTCTGGGTATCTGAGCTGCACCTCTAAAAACCATGAGGTGACCCAGAACGTCCTTAGGAGGGGCTGAAGATCACGACGCCTCTAGCGCCCCCCAAGGTAGATCCCCAGGAGACCGTTCACGTCACACTGGTAGAAACCTGACGGGATCCCTCCCTGCTTCAAGGAGATCTGGGATAGCACAGGGCCGCCTCGGCTAGCCAAAGCCAGCTCCAGAATGAGGAGCCCTGTCCTGTACCGGCCGACGGCCTTGCGGCTCCTGTGAACGAAAGGCCACCCGGTGCATGCCCAGAGGAACATTTTCCCCGAGACCATTTTGAATTTACCCGAGGCCGACGCCTGGCTCAAAGCTTTATGACTCCGACCGGAAGATCTGTGAGCAGGTTAAAAAGGACGGAAGGAGCGCCTATCGGGTCACGGAGGACGCCTTGTATTTATCCGAGGAACAAGCCCTTTCACCACGTCCTAGGGCATGTTCTTCACCCCTCGCCCACCCAACATTTCCACCCTGAACGAGGGGGGAGGAAAGCCCATGCCACACTGGAAAAAAGGAAACAATCATGGGAAGGAAAACGGGAGCAAAAATAATTTTCTTCTTCGCTCCCTGGCTAGCCACATGAAGGGAGAAGGGGCAAAGGAACCGCCGCTCCCACGTTTTCTGGATTCGTGGGATCCGAGCCTTTCCGCTTGCCTGCAAGACGCTTGGGGGGGGGAGTGCGCAGTCCGAGGGTTGCACTGCTGAAGGAGGGGGGGGAGCCGGTCGGCAAGCGGAGCATAAACAAGAGGAGAGGAGAGGCCGGCTGATTTCTGCAGGCCTCGGCGGCTTGTGAGTCACGAAGGCTGAGGTCAGCAACTGGAACAGGGAGCGGCAGCCGAGGATTTTTCGGCAGGGGCGGGTGGCGCTGGGGGAGAGAGCTGCAACCCAAGATCTGTGCACCAAGGGCGAGCAAAGTTTGGGAGGCGAGGAGGCGAGCGGGCAAGATTGACCCGTGCCAGCCAGACATCCTTCTTTCGCTTTGGAGGCCGCCGGGTATCTCATCAAAACAGGAAAAGCGACCGAGTCAAAACGCGAGCAACGAACACACACACACACACACACAAAAACCCACTAAGAAGCAAAAACACTCTCATTCCCAAAATGGAAGCTTCACAGGCACTGAGATCGGAGGCGTATTTTTCCTACACATTTTGACAGTGTTCGGTTTATCCATTTACTAAACTGGCTACTCCAGGTTTATTTAGTTTATTGAATATGTAGGATGCCCATCTAACCCATGGCCATCCCGGGTGGTTCACAACTATCCACCTACTAAATCTGGACAGATTGGTGCTGCTGAAAAAAAAAAAAACAGATTAGGAAGGCCTGGGTCCACAGCTCCCCACTCAACGAGGAAGCTGACAGGGGGAACCTCGGATCCGTCCATCTCGCTCATTCTCTCAGCTAAAGCTACCTCAGAGGGTTGTGGTTACCATAAAATATAGGAAGATTACCTACATCTTCCTCTAGCCAACCTGGAGGCAAAACCACGAATGTAGCCCTACGATCTAATCCTAGATGAGCGAAAAGGAAGGCAGTTTATAAATATCCGGGGGACTTCCCTAAGTTATTGCCCAAACTCCATTCCTTCACTCTTGACTTGAATGTTTCTCAAGTGAAAAAAAATGGGTGAAGCCCAGCGAAAGAAAGAAAGGAAGGAAGGAAGGAAGGAAGGAAGGAAGGAAGGAAAAGAAAGGAAGGA